AAATTATTGTAAACTGAAGGCTCAGACACCAAAAGACAAAAAAAAGAAACTCATGATTTCAAGCTAATTCCATGATTTCTAAAAAACTAAGTTAGGGGCAGACATTCAAAAAACCTGAGCCTGAATTGATTAAATCTTTGCAGGTTAGTCTAACCTGGCTAGGCTAAACTGGTTTGTAACTGAACAGACATCCCCTCTGGACTGAAAAAAATGCAGGCACATGCCTGCAGTGGCTCAGACTAGAAGCCAGGGGGCGCTAGAGCATCCCTCCCTTCCCTTCTATAGTGCTGAGCTGATGGGGGCATAGCCAGGCCCTGCAGGACGCTCTGACTGGGGAGGGGTTACCCCCCCACACCTTGATAACAGAGCATTTATCAGCTCTGTTATCAGCATTTTAGCACTCCATCAGAAAACAAAGCCTTGCTCATTAGTTCAAGGTCTTCTTAAACAGTTTTTTCCAAGGAAGGAATGGAGGGACATTACCAGCTGACCTGCTAATTAGCTCCAAAAAGCCCTAAGCGGACACTGCCCTGTCTGCCTTACACAGACACCTCTCAGCATTAGCTAGCATACCACGTGCTGGCTATGGTCTGTGCTATGGGAGAGGAGGAAGGGATCCCTAATTAAGCAGTGAGTGGTTGAGGTGGGGTGGTGGCACAGCGAAGCCAGGCAGACCCTGTTGTGCCTGCAAGTTTCTGCTGGAGCTCCAGCCAGGGAGCAGAGGGGAGGGGCCCGCCTGGCCCAGAGAGCATGCTGGGTTGCTGGGGGACTCCGATTCAACTTAAACCGGGAAGGGGTCTGGGACAGACATTGCATAAACCGGTTTGACCCAAATCAGTTAAGTCTGATACTACATTCAACCAGGTTCATCTCAAACCGGTTTCAGCCATTTTCAAACTGCTTTATGTGCACTGAATGTCTGTTGTGTTACAGGTTTAAACTAGTTCTGATCACTTAAACCGGTTTATGTGTAATGTCCGTCTCGAGCCAGCCCCCTCTAGTATTCAAGTATATTTGATTTCTTGGCCTTTTTTTCTGGTGGTTTCTTTTGGGCTTTCCAAAAATATGTGGCTTTTTCTTAGAATAACGGTACTTCCTTCCTTTGTCATAAAAGTCAACAACACAGGTGTGACCAATAGCAGAGGAAAGGAAGAAAAAAACCCAAACTATTCACCATTGTCTGGTTCCAGAAAGAGGCACATCAGTCTCTTATGCTGCAATGAATGGCCATTGATATAGGAAACAATGAGGTTATAGGGTTTCTGGTGAAATTTACCTCAGATTCCCAAGCATGTAAGAAAGGGCTGGGCTTCTTATAAACAATAGTGGGGTAAAACCTGAAACTTCTTCAGAAAGCACCCAACATCACTGAAAGGTGGGTGTCATTATAATTAAAACATCATCATTATAATGGAACAGACCAAGGAGAACATGAAGCCTAACTCATTCTTAAGGCAGTCATTCTCAACTTTGTTACACTCAAGGTGCCTCTTGGAAAAGGCTAGCTCTTAACTTCCACCTGTTTGTTGACTACAGAAAAATAAAGCACTTCTGGAAGACCACTACAGGTCAGAATGTATCTGATGTTATCAATACCCATTTGAAAGCACTGGGTTTACTTCGTGAATTGGGTAATGTCCATACATCCAAATACTGCATAGCACCGCTCTGCAACCTTAAAAGGATCTCACGACACCCCAGGGCACTGCAACACCCTGGTTGAGAACCACTTCTCTAAGTACACCAACTGACTTCCCATGTTACCTGTTAAATTGATACAACTTTATTTCTTCATCAAGAGAAAAAGAAGCTGAAACCCAGACCACGAAATAATAAAACAGGGCCGTGCAGGAATGGAATTTAAACTGGTTAGTAGTTGCCTTGTAAACAGCAGACAAGCCACATTCTTCCCTTGGTTACTATTAACAGTTTCCTGTCCTTCAGGAAGAGTATGCCATGAAAAGGTGAAAAATAAATGTCTAAAGGCTCCAGCAGATTCCTGTACAACTCAGTGGGAATTTTCCTGAATAAGAACTGGGAAAAGTCTTGACCCTCACTGAATACAAAGGGAGGGCTGTAACAAGGTTTTACATTCTGCTGTTAAAAAGACTCATAATGACAATCAAAATGTCTTAAGTTATGTGTAACGATTAGTTACCCATTATCTGTATTTCTCCTGAAGAAGTCAGGAAATACAACATTTTTATAAAATTTAAAACCCATCATTTACATGAAAATTCTTATCAGCTACCCCCAATTCACAGTCAACCAAAAAAAATGTCGTTCAGAAAGAGAAGAGTAGAGGCAAAAATAAAGTCTGTGTCTGCCTGAACAACAATTAAAAGTGTGGTGATCTAGGCAAAACTTGGTGGTAGCAAGGGAATTTGCTGGCACACTAGTATTATCCATATATCAATTTTCCTTTATTTTGTGAGGCTATAAAACCAGACAGCAGCAAGAGCTCACTGTCATATGCTAGTTGTTAGCAATGTTCAGCTGGAAGCTGAAGGAATATGGAATGGAGGCCTCTACTGAAAAGGCTCAGAGACATAAGCAAGGGTTTTTGCAAAGTCAAACAAAAAACAGTGCTTTTGGAAAAAGTCTGGTCAGCTTTCAGTTTCTAGACCAGTTCTTACAGAACACTAACTACATACTGAGAGTTTGTACAGTATCAGAATGGTACACTAGTCATCCATATTATGCATCTTTAATGCACAAACGTTTTCAAGCCAGGTAATTTCTCTTGTCCATGGTCATTCATTACACACATTAGCAAAATGTCCAAGTCTCAACACTTGCATTCCTAATGGAAACCTAGGAAAATGTAAGCGCATTGTAAGGTGAGAGATATCATGAATTTACCACAATCTTATAACAGAAACCACAGCTATTAAACAGAATCAGTTTACAGTAAATTAACAACATATGATTTTCTTTGCTAAACAAACATCAGTCAAAAAAGGCCCAGAAAGGAGTTAATGTAACTTCTTGTTTGGGTTGGGGGAGGGGGGACCCCAACCCAAACAAAAGCAGATTTTCTAGGTTTTTCTGGGATAGAGACATCAAATCTCCACTGTCTCCTCATGTAGCACTGCAACAGAGACAACCCTTCAGGATTCATTTGGATTCCTCTAGAGTCAACAAAATGGGCAACTTACCCCAAATGAAGAAGAACCCAAAAGCACAACCGGAGCTTGTTCTGGTGCGTTACTGTCAAACTTGCTAAGTATGGAGACCTGACAAGCTACCTAAGGCATATTGCTGACAGAAGGCAAGCTAAAAATAATGCGAATCGCCATGATTGGAATGTGACATCTCCGGAATGGTGTAGCTTATTACATATGTGCTGCCATTTCTCATGTATAGAAGCTAATTTTTAATTCCAACACTCCATTTATTCTGCTTTTTCTATACATGTGCTGAATATTTATTTAACTCTATGGTCCTGCAATAACATCTGAAGTGTTACTGCAGGACACTTCAGATCTCTCTATGCCCTAAGTCTACTATTTATGTAAATTTATGCCAAATTATGAAATACGAGATAATCATTTGGAGGGACACTGCACAAAACCTCTCTTGTGGTTTGCAGTTCTTGGGACCAGATCCTGAGCTGGTGTAAACTGATGTAAATCAATGGAGCAACAATCATTTACACTAGGTGAAAATCTGACCCACTGTTCTACTTCACTTACTGCTATTTATTTCCTATCAGTATGCAACAAGCTAGGATGCTATATTGTATGTTTTTCATAAGCAGTTTCATTTCACCTCTGTTCAGAAATTTTTATAGTGCAGAATGAGCAAAACAAGTACTATATCTACTTGATGATTCAGTGATGCCAGCATTCAAGAATATAACTTCCTAAAGGCTGCAAAGAAAAAAAATGGGAAGTATCCAAAAAGCACCCCGCCACAAACCACAACTGTTCACTCGGCAAAACCTAGGTCTCCGTTAATTTAAAAAAACAAAACAAAAAAACCGAAACCTATACTTCCCTTGCTAGATTCTGTAAATATCCCTTCACTTTCTCTGTTTTTTGAATGAAGAATGCATTGATGTTACTACAGACGATTCAATAATCCCTCAGTTATTCAATTTGATACAATGGTCTGAGCCATTACATACAATAATTCACAAATGTAATCAAGACTGGACACCTTCCTGAAATATATGCTGTAGTTAGGCAAAGTACTGGGCTAAGTGCAGCTGATGCAAGTCTATGGCTTGTGTTAGGCAGAAGCTCAAACTAGGTGATCTAATAGATTCATAGATTTAACAGTCAGAAGGAACAATGAATCTCTGAGTTTTCTTATGCCCTTGCTCTTTGATAATGCATAAATTTAAATGGATCAAGGGGGGGGGGAAGGGAACCTTTATAGCAGCTATTGTGAGGAAAAAGAAATAGCTCACTAGACTGGTTATCAAAACTTAAAATAAAGCATTTGAGGATGAATCAAAGTCTCCCCCATTTTGGCCTGCTTTGGAGCAGAGTTGCATGAATGTTGGGAACAAGTACTTGTGAGTGTTCATATTAATAAAAAAGGTGAACTTGCTCTGATGACATTAATGTTCCTATCAATTCCTTTTTTGTTAATAGCCTTTGCAAGCATTTTCACTTGCAACATTCCTTAAAAAGTAAAAGTCTTACATAGTACAGTATCCTTCTCCACTGTGCTGGTAGGCTAATGCTACCTCTCAATTACCTGAATAAACTACTACTTACTTTGACAGCATTGTGTATTGCTTTGCATGGATGTAAATGTTGGCGCAAGGTACAGAAGAGTGGAAAATATCAGGCTAACTACTCTCCAGGAAACGTTTGTCCAGCTCTCGTGCTGGGGCAAGACCTGCTGCTTCCACAGTCTTATTTATTTAAATTAAAGTTATATTGAAACATATTGAATTTCAAACATATTTTTGCACACATTTTTGGTCAAGAGGGAAAAAAGGCAGTTTGATGGTCAGAGCAAGCAACAAGAGACTTGCAAATACTTACTTGATTTTTCTTCCTTGATGTTGTACTCAAGCATATCAGGAGCTTCATTCTGGGCTGGGTAGCAGAATGACAGGACCATATTGTTCATGTTACCATCTTTCCTAACTAAAAATATCTGCAGAAGAGGAAAATAAATGGGAGCTGTATTACATTATATGAGCTTATGAACTTAATTTTAGATGATTAGCAAGGAAGTGTTTCAGTAGCTATTTCAATTAATCTCTAGAATGTTTTTTTTTCAATTGATCTCTACGTTTCATTTAATTCTTCACTGACAAACTGAAGTGGATATAACTACTAAGTAGTAGTATTTTCTTTGGGTGCAGTTCATTTTGCCAGAAGGCCAGGAAAGTACTTATGCTCCATTAAAATCACACCTAAACCCAAGGCAGTCTGTATTACTAACATACGTTTAAAGCTATACTTTTCCTGATTTGTAAAGTGACATCAAGATTCTAGCATGAATGAATGTAGAATATGGCTCGTATACATCTTTACAGATATAGGGATAAAAAAGGCCAAGAGTTGATCTTATAAAAAATAATTTTGCTTTCAGGGCTGGAGAGGCTGGGAACACGTGTATGTAATAGAACAAAACACATACAGGTGTAATCAAGAAAAAGGTGGCCTTTTAGGTGTGTGTCACATTTTTTCTTTGTATTGTGAGCACCCAATGAATTCCTAAGAACCATTCTAATTAGAGCTCAGCAGTAGGAATATTTTTCGCTTGAACCATGAAAGCCCAGGTACAAAGAGAGAAACCCTTACTGCCTTCCTCCTTAAAGAAGCTTTACGTGGGAGAGAGAGAAAGAATTTATAAAAGCTGTTTCAAAATGCAAATAATTCTAAAGTTGTAGTATTAATGGTAGAGAGAAGCGCAAGTCTCCAACACGATTAAATTATTACAGAAAAGGAGAAATATCCCAAGAAAGCATTAATTTTTCAGTAAGAGGAATTAAGAGGAGCTTGTCTGGAAGCCAAGTGGCAATGGGGGGGAGGGGGGGGGGAAATGAACACGGGGTCTGATCTGGGAGGGTTACTGATGCAGAGCACTCAGATGGTGGGGCTTAGAGCACCTCACAGGGCTTTCAAACAGGCAAAACATGAGGCAGCTTTGCTAAGATGTGCAAGGTGTGTCCAGCTGGTTTCTGGTTCAACTGAATACAGAACAGGAGCCTCATCTCGCCACCTGCCCACCAAAGTAAAATTCAACCCTGCAGCACTTTGCCTTCAATGCAGGATTAAGATCACTGAATGTGCAGCCCAACCCCAAACCCTGACACAGACCGTATAAGTGCCTAGCTGAACAGGAGGTCAGGGATGGAGATAGCTGGAAGCAACCCCCATACTACCTTCAGAATTGACAGGATCCATGGGGAAGGGGAAGGGGAAGTGTAACAGGCTCTGCCTCCAGGAGTGGCTGCAGTGCCCCTTACAGGCCGTGCTGGGTGCCGACAGATGTGCAGGTCCCTGCTTTAACTCACGGCACTTTACGTAAATACCATGTAGTTAGAGTGCCCGGCACCCCAACACAACAAATGTTCACCTTTTGGGCGGGGGGCAGGGGGAAGAAAAAGGGGAAATTAAGTCTGCCTGCAAGAGCCAGCGGAGCCTGCTTGCCTCTAAGGAGTCACCCCTCTCCCCTAGCCCTCAGCTCTGAGGCTGTCAGCAAGAAGGGAGGGAGGATGGGGAGAGAGCTGCTGGCTGGGATTTGTGTGGCCTGATCTGCAAGAGGGGCTGGCGGTGGGGAAACAAGGCAGGGGAACTCCAATCCACTTGCACCCCCCAGCTCAGATGGGGCAAACCCCAGCTTGCAGCTGGCTCCCCCTGCCCCCTTCCTTCCTGGTGCCAGCCCCAGGAGCAGGCCTACAAATTAGCCCTAAGGAACAAGTTCCCTAAGGTGCTCCAGGGTGGAGTGCTTTCATTTGATCCCTCATTTGCTGAGGGTTAATTTATCACCTGATCAATCACTTTAAAAGCAACAAACGTAACTTCTGTTTGTACCCCCTATGCCCATTCACCCACTCAGATTCCCTCTACCAGGTCTCTTCTTCTTTTACCTGCCATGCTTTGATGGTTAATAAATTTGGGAGGCTGCCTTCAGATACCCAGAATTTGGCTTTCAGTGCTTGCCCTGCACTGCCCTGCTTGTCAGACTGCTAGTCGGCTTATCCTCATGGCCTGACTGTAGCAGTGCTCGCTCTCTCATCTGAGCTCCCCCAGTAGGATGGCCATCATAGAGGACAGTCCAGCTGTCCTCTACTGATATGAAACCGGATGCCTCTATGTCCTCTATTTTTCTCTTGTCGGGTTTCTAACAATAGAGGACAGAGTAGCAGAAAACCGGAATGTCCTCTGTGATGGCCACCCTACCTCCTGGTCCAGTTTCTCTCTCTCAGCTAGGCCTGCTGGACCTTCCAGGCTTTGGCCCCTCTCCCCAGTCTTTAGCCCTAGATGCCCACTGGGTCCTGGACCCTGGCAGGTCTGTCTGGGCCTTAGCCCCTCATACCACAGAGTGTCTCTGAGGCACTCCCCTGTGACTCCTATTGCTAATGGCATCAGTTCCTTGACCTCAGCCCCATCTGTGCCTGGACATCAGCCCTTCAGTGACAGACCTCAAGGCCTCCTTTGGCTGCCAGTTCCCAACCAAGTGCCTTTCAGGGCACCTACCCTCCCAGGCTTGTGCTTGTGCCTGGGCCTTGACCCTTGCAGCCCTTAGCCTATCTTACTTTGCCTGCCCTTTGCCCAGAATGCCCCAGGGACCCTCTCTTCCTTCTCCCCTACAGCCACAACCCAGTCCTCAGGTATAACACAAACCCCAAACAGCAACAGAAGAAACACATAACTTATCTCCCCATATAACACAACTGCAAAGCTCCTTCTATGTATCTGAGCCAGTCTGACCTTAACCCCCCTCCCCACCTCCAGCTGACATGGCCCTTTCTCCTTGCTGTTAGTAAGTTCCAGGTGATGCTAACCCCTAATCAACAGCTGCCTGCAATGTGCAGACTGAGTCTTGCAGCTCCCTTAACTGGGCACCTGGTGGGCAGCATTTGTGTCACTATCCTACTCTTTTCTTTCAGGTAACAGGGGAATGGACCCCCAGTTACAGGACATTGTCATTAACTTGCTCTGTGCCTTAGTCCCCCCCCTGAAAGATGGGAGTGATGGCCAAGCTGTGGTACTGGTCAGTGGTGAGATTCAATCTGTGTTGGACTCTAAAGCTCCAAGCTGCAGGCCTGGTGTTGCTTCCCTGGTGGTTCACACTGATGAGGAGAGAAGTGAAATCTGGAGACCTGCTGGTTCTCTTTTCTGCTCACAGATTCTTGTTGTGGTTCCAGAGGCTAAACATAGTCCACAGCCGTTTAACAGGGGTTGTGTCCTCAGAGCAGAGCAGGCACTCCTGCTATCCACGCAGCCAGTTAGTAGCTTTCTTTCAACTACAGCCTACAATTTAACATCTACAGGACCTGGTATAAGCACATGGTACAGCATCTGCTGCTGTCAGGAGTGTGGGGAAGCGGGGGTGGGGAAAGGGATCATCTTTCCAAGAGCTCATGCTCAAGCTGCCGTTTTCTAAAGTCCAGTCCATGGGGACCACACAAGCCAGTAAGCCAACTCACCAGCTTGGCACATCAAACACCATTGCCAGCAGCATCAGGATTCCTGGACCCACTCAGGCTACAGTTTTATTTCTCCACATTAAATCAGGTCAGCATAGAAAGCAGGTCCTTTCCCTTGCACAGAGTTCCCTGCAGTTTTTACCCTTCAGGTCCTACACCTGACTGCTTAAGGGAATCATCCTCTTCCTCCTACGGCAGCCCTTCCCCCAACAGGCTGCTGTACCCCATGACAACTCCCCTAGCCCCTTACAGCCCAAAGACAGGCTGTCTCTTATATGCCAGTAGGCCTGCTTCTGAGTGGCCAAGCTCCTATCCATCACATGACCTCATGCACTTATTTCCATTTCTGTGATGGGAGGGCTCACAGTTGTGCTGGGTACTGAGTTGAGCTCAGCCTACTTAAAGGACCAACTCACCATTTGGCAGGACTGATCTTTACAAAATTTGAAGTTTTAGGAAAACATTCTGGCTTTATTTTATCCCAGAGATGGGCTTTCCTGCTGAAACCTTCCTTTCACAAGTGCTGCTTTCGTAAAGCTGGGTTTTTTTCTACTCAGGTCTTATTCATCAGAGTTTCACTTAAGAAGAACCCAGCAGCACCACAGAGTTCACAACGAGCTGTTCCCTCAGGGAGATGAGGCTCTCACCCCGTGTGTAACTCTGCCCCCTCTAGCTCACGTAAGGGGTGTCGCATAATGGGTATTCATGCTGAAACCAGCAGAACTACTCACATGTCCACATCCTGCTAATTTAAACTAAAACATCAGATTGGGTTCAGTTTCTGCGGTCAGTACTTATCCCCAATTGTGCACCTGTCTAAGACTGGTCTTTACTGTTGAGCAGGACAACAAGAAACATGGTAAATTCAACCTCACCTTTCTCTTCCAGTTTAGACAATGCCTAGGGTTTCCCTTGAAGGGACACCTCTGCCCCAAATCCTAGCTTCATTCTGAACAAGTTGTGTTTATTAATTTCAGCCTCTTTGATCTGCACAGCATCCTTACGTTCCCTTGGAACTTTAGGCAGGGAACTAATAGGAGGAGGGTCCATATTCTGGACCCTCGACTTGGACGAGGGAGTGAAAAGCACCTTGTTCAAATTCGCGGATGGCTCTAAGATGTGGGGAAAAGTGGGCATGCTGGAAGAGGGACAGGCTGCAACTAGATCTAGACAGGTTACAGGGGTGGGCGGATGAGAACAGGATGGGATTCAATACTGACAAATGCAAGGTGCTGCACCTGGGGAGGAAGAACCAGCAGCAGACCTTACAGGCTGGGGAACTCCCTTCTCGTCAGTGCAGAGGCAGAAAAGGATCTTGGTGTCATTATTGAATCCAAAATGAACATGGGCTGCCAATGTGGGGACGCAGTCAGGAAGGCTAACCGCACCTTGTCATGCATCCACAGATGCATCACGAGCAGGTCCAAAGAGATGATCCTCCCCCTCTACGCGACACTGGTCAGGCCGCAGTTGGAGTACTGCGTCCAGTTCTGGGCGCCGCACTTCAGGAGGGATGTGGCCAGCATCGAGAGGGTCCAGAGGAGGGCCACTCGCATGATCTGGGGACAGCAGGGAAGACCCTACGAGGAGAGGCTATGGGACCTGAACCTGTTCAGCCTTCACAAGAGAAGGCTGAGAGGGGATCTGGTGGCCATCTACGAACTGGCCAAGGGGGACCAGCAGGCAATGGGAGAGTCCCTGTTCCCCCAAGCACTACTGGGAGTAACAAGGAATAACGGCCATAAGTTGACTGAGAGTAGATTCAGGCTAGATATCGGGAGGCGCTACTTCACAGTCAGGGCGGCTAGGATCTGGAACCAACTTCCAAGGAAAGTGGTGCTCACTTCTACCCCGGGGGTCTTCAAAAAGGAGGCTAGATAATCACTTAGGCAGAGTCATTTGACCCCAGCTTTCTTTCCCGCCCATGGCAGGGGGTTGGACCTGATGATCTGCTCAGGTCCCTTCCGACCCTACCAACTATGAAACTATTTTATTAGAAGTGCCCTGAAAAAGACAAATTTGGTCTAAGTATCCTACTTCTTCCCAAAACGCTTTATAACACAGAAAGAATTCCTGGAAGCTTTTCTCCATAAAACTAACCAGAACAGAAAGCATCCCCTGCTTGCTTGGTTTTTGTTCTTTTGGGGGGTTTTTTGTTTGTTCGTTGGGGTTTATTTTTTGTTTTATCTTCTTTAATATTAGAAATTCAGATCTCTTCCATCTTAGGATTCCTCTGGATGACTGGAGAGTTAATGACATAATGGTTCCAAGGAAGTTAAACCTGAGTAATTGCAAAAGGATTTTTAAAATTGGTTTGCTTTGGTTTTTGGCAACATTTCTTTATCTCAAACACCTGAAAAGCATTTAGGAGAACAACATTCTTTGTGAAAGCTCCAAACCCCATTTTCTTTCTATTCAACTGCTGCCAACAATTTGGTCATGTTTGATCAAACAAAAACAATATAACAAACAACAGCAAGACGAAAACTCAGAGCCACAGTCAGTATGTGCATCCCACAGGAGCTCCAAAGGAAGGTAATATTTGATTCTTCAGTTCATGTTTAAGGTTTCACTTTTTAAACTAGATACAAGTTAGAGATATTGAAAAGACACTGCAACAGGCTGCACAACTGGGTAGTCAACAGAGCCGAAAGCAGAATAATAATAATAATAATAATAATAAAACCCTTATGAGCCAGACAGGCAGGGCAGGGCAGGGGTACCTTTATCTGAGATGGATGGGAAAAGATATCCTGAAACCATGTGCTGACCAGACAAATCAAAGGTATAATCCTTTCCATGGACATATGCCACTGGTCCAGAGCAAACCGGAATGTCTACCGTGCCAGCACCAACCAGACTCTGCTAGATACTTTAGCTTCCACATGAAAAGACATCTCTCTCAGCTCTGCCGAGCAACAGGAAATGTGGTTGTCTGAACTGAAACCGTTTCGGACAAATGTAGACTTACCCCAGCCATTTCTTTGCTTAGTATCTCTCTGGCCCTCTCCTCATTCATGCTCAGTTGAAGCCAAATCGGGCATGTTTTGATGAGCTTATCAAGTATGCTGATGCCTGGCAGGAGAAAACAGTTCCTCAGGGCGACAGGTGGCCCTAGCTGTGTCTCGTTGTTATCTTCGCCAGTATCTGTGACAGGACTGAATCAACACAACAGAGTCCCTATTAAGCAGAAGTGCAGGGTAACAGTAGTATAAATATGTGCATGTTCACACATGCACGCACACACAAAGCACTACGCAACCAGCATCACATGAGAGATTAATATTAATACAGTAGCCCTGAACTAGGCAGTTGTACCAGCACACAGTAACAATCCACACCTCAAAGACAAGAATTCACCTCCTGGTTTGAAACCCCACAAACACTGGCGAGGCATTCTTCCCTGAAGTTGAGTGGGTTGTGGACATGCCCTTGCCCCAGCCATTGGTGAAGATATCTGAAGAACTGGGCTGAGGCAGGCTGACAGACATCCGGTGGGAAGCTAGTACTTCCACTGCCCCGTGCTTTACTTCTTTGTGGATAGATGCCTGCCAGCTGTAAGGCCCTGATTCTTCAGCTTACATATATGAATAATTCTTATTGATGCTAAAGGCAGGTATTTGTTCAGTGCAGTGGGAGGATCAGGGCCCCTGGGTTATCAAACCAGCATTCAGGAATTTCAGATACACTTTGCTATATTGTGGTCCAAAGCCTGCAATGAGACCCATGAGCTCACAAAGTCAGAATGCCTTAGGCTCAGCTGGTCTGTGTGTCACTTCCAGGCCTTCTTGCATTGTTCAGTAGCTTTAAAGATCAACCCAAAAGTCCCAGTAGAGGCATTTACTGTGGAACCCTTCCTGTCAACCCAAGGACTTCCAAAAGAACATGCAAATATTGGAGACTTGAAGAGTTTCAGCAGGGCTGCATTTGATCAGCAGCCTCATTTCCATACCTATCTGGGGGCTCTTTAGATACTCTGCATGCGAAGGTAAGACATTTCACAGTTTAAAAACAATATTGATATTTTTCCCCTTCTATAATTATGTTTTTCTGCAGATGCTGGGAGCAGGTGGGAAGATTATTGCAAAGCCTGACATTTGAATCCTGCCCCTACCTACATCAGAGACTGGGTTCAAGCACAGGTGTGCGGGTGGAGCTGTGGTTTGTTAATATGGAACAGAGAAGTCCCCCACCCTTGGGTAGAAGTAGAGTGAGAAATCATGCAAAAAAGGAACATGGTGTATGTAGGAGCTCAGAGTTTCTTGAGCATGTCCAGTGCATGCAAGAATAGAGGCATCAATTTATTCATTAATAACTTTAGACTAATCCTCTATCTCCAATAGGTAAGGCTGCCTCTAATTCAGGTAGGAATCCAAAGGTTACAAGTATAATGCATCTCCAGGGATCCTGGTTTTCTCTGCTTAAAAATTGCAAATTCTCCGATTCAAAAAAACCCAAAATCCATGATTAAAATGAAACACCACACTGTGTGTGTGTGCATGTGTGTGTGTCAATTGAACGTAATATTTTCTTGATATATTTACTATTTTAAAGCAGTTTGGAAGCCTACCAGTGCTTCTATCACTATAATAAAATAAATTCTAAATACCTATACATTTTGGTATTTGATTTGGAGTTTTTTATCATGGAAAATCAGTTTCCCCTGCCCCCGTCACCAGGACGCAGGTCCAGGTCCCTCGCTTCCCACCCTCAGCCCCCTGGCCCCTAGCCATGGGGCCCCCAGCTGTCAGGGCTAAAGGGCCAGGGACCCAGGTCTGCAGCCTCCTGCCCCCTGCAGCAGCGCCCAAGCCCCGGCTGCTGCTTGCTGGAGGCAGAGGCTGCTGCGGCAGAGTGGAGCCTGGCTCCCCCTCTCCTGGGGGCGCCACAACTAGGGGGTGGGGGCAGGCTCAGGCTCCCTGCCCTACTGCCCCACCCCTGGGGCCACTGCAACCCAGCAGGCAGGCCCCACCATGGCAGGGCAGGGCAGGGCAGGGCAGGAAAACTCCTTGCTGCTGCAAGCCCTGTGCTGCCATGGCGACACACCCCCTGCCTGCCCAGCAGCAGCAAGGGGCACAACTCCATGCTGCCACCCCCACTGCTGCCAGGCAGCAAGGGATACCTTGCAGGGTGGCATGGGGCTTGCAGCAGCAAGGACCTTCCATGCCTGGCCCCGCTCTGCCCTGCCCTGCCAGCTCCCACCCACTGGGCCACAGAGACCCCAGGGGGAGGGCAGCATGGCAGGGAGCCCCAGCCTGCAGTGGGCAGCCTGCACCTACCCAGTCCCTGCTCTGTGCACAGATCTGGGCAGCATGTGCCACCCCATGCTCCCCCAAAGAGTATATACAGTGACAGGGATCCTGCCTTATCTCCCCTCACCCCCCAGACGAGCTGCCTGCCGCTCCATTCCACTCCCTGCGCTGGCCCTGCAGCAGTGCATTTCAGCCTCCGGCATCAAGCCCCACGCATCACCCGGGTCGGGCAGCAGCCCCAAACCCAGCCCTGCCCACCTCCCTCCCCCTCTATGGGGCTTCAATACCCCCTCCCCCCACCAGTCTTACCTGGGGGAGCAGCTCTCCAGGCTGCCTGGCAGCCTTGTGCCTGCGTGAGCACGCACATGCTCATGGCACCCCTGCCCTACCGCCCTCCTCCCGCTCCTCCCAGCCCCTTGCAGGCTGGAACTCTGTCAGCCTGCAGAGAGCAATTTGCAAAAGTGGAAAATCTACGTTTCTCCATTAAAATTAAAAATCTGCATTTTTCTTAGTTAAAAGGGAAAATCTGCGGTTTTTTCCATAGGAAACAAAAAACCCGGATCCCTGCTCATCTCTCTAAGAGAACAACCCTTGGGAAGCCAAGTGTCCGTAAAGACAGACTTGACTACTGGATACAATGTGCTCAAGCCAATGAATCAATAAATAAAAAGGTATTTAAAACAAGCTGTGGTACACATGCATCAATGTATGGAGTGAAAAGAATAAGTAAAAGAAAAGCAGTAGCCCAGCATTATGTTAATAAATTATAATAACAAACTTCTTGACAAAGTAACACGAATGAACTGGCAAACTAACAAAGCCCCAGTCCATATGGTAAAATGCAGCAGCTCAGGTAGTAACTAGGGATACGAGAGCAATGTTCAAGACAAGCAAAGATTTTAACGCCGTGGTTTTATTAACACAGCACCCCCACAAGTCAGAAAATGCAGCCACAGCCCAAGCACACGTTCACAGGTTAGGAACAAGGGTGATCAGATTAACAAGCAGCATGAATGGCTATGTGACATTTCTGTTCCTTTAGATGGAGCTCTCACAATGTAGTGAAATCCTGTGTCACCACAAGGTTGTCTCTGAAGCCAAAACATTATCTGAGGATGCATTCCTATCTGTGTGGACACAAGATGTTGATCCCTAGCTGTAGCCCCAGTCCAGCTACATGTCTTTTTACGTCAAGTTTGTTGGTGCAGTTAAATGAATATGGCTTTCTTTTTTCCTTGATTTGGTGTCACTTCCTTGTTTGTGGTAAGTAAGAGTTTTGTTTGTTTGTTTGTTTGTTAGAGACACAGCTGTTAAAATCTGGACCACATTTTTAAACTAGGTTGGATTTCAGACCAAAACTGAGACTGTCTCTTCAAAAGCTCTAATTCAATGCAGTACACTTGCCCAGAATTTAGGTTTTGTTAAAGTAATTTTTAAAAAGCCTGAGACCAATAGTGAGCTTTCATGTTCTTTTGCAACATCCACATCAGCGCGCGTGAGCATGCACACTCACACAGTGTTAAACTATGTATTATATATATATTTCTCCTGAAGCACTGCACTAGTCTATGATAATCTGATATTTATTGGTCCATTTTCACTTTCCAAGTGGAGAGAAGTCCAACGAACAGCAACTAGCAAAGCAGACTTCTTTTTTTCAAAATAAAGTGTGACGATTTGTCACATGTGGGGAAATTTCTTTTAAAAACTGCAACGTGCGATTTTTAGTCTAACAGCACATTTAAACATAAGTACAAAGTAAAATTAAATCATAGCTTTTGCAAATTATCACAATTCATCCTACACACACTCTCTCTCTCTCACTTTTTTCATCAACTGAAAAAAAAGTCGTGTGCTAATTTTATCTTGAAACTGCCTGCCAGGGAAACATTTGTGAGGTGATGACATTAATAATCAGTGGAAGAAAGGAAGTGAGATATTTCAAAATATGTGGAATACAGCAGAATATGCTGTTTAAGTGCATTTAGCTTTAGGACTAAAAAAAGGCTGGGCACTTACCCAGGCTCTTGGTAAACAGTACTCATTAACTACAGGGACAGCTTCTACTAAGCTTGTTTTTCAGGGCTTTATGCCCCTAATTATTAGGGCCGAATAGCAGCCTAGTAACAATCATCACAAGTACAAGAGCCAAGCACTGACAGAAACCCAGTCAGTGCAAGGCTGCTTTAGAAGCCTTGAAATTGATAGCTCCTAGCCACTTTCGCCAATTATGCAGTTCAAAAGAGGTATGTGGCAAAATCCACAGAGGAGTCAAGAATTTGTGTGCACTTGCACAGCTTATGTACTTAAATGAACTGCAGATAGTAGATGTCTCTTACAGGTAAGCAACATGTAACATCTGGGACTCTCATAGTGTTGTACAGATAAATGTATTATGCACTTATCTGAGCACAGCACAATGGATACCATAAGTGTTGAATGAAAGCCTATTAAAAAAAATCAGCCAAAGAAGCCTGGACCTGAATCTTGCCAATGCGACATGACAACTGGATGAAAAAGGGGAACAGTATTATTACTGGTATTGTCATAGGACCAGATATAGGCAGCTGATTAGGGCCTTCAAAAAGCCAGAGCCTGAATAGATTCAACTTTTGCAAGTAAGTCTAACCTGCCTAGGTGAAACCAGTTTGTAACTGCACAGATATGCAAGCACATGCCTGCAGTTGCTCAGGCCAGGAGCTGGGGCGCTAGAGTGTGCCCTCAGCTGCGGGGAAGTTATGGGGGCCACGGCCAGTCTGGGCTGAACTGGCCAGAGAGGAGTTTAATTACGTCCTCCCTGTGCCACTGGCAGGGACCTGAGCCAAGTCTGCCAGGTGCTCCCCCCTTGCTGCTGCAGCAGTGGGGCACAATGGCCCCTGAGGCAGAGTGGGGCAGGGAGGAGGGTTAGT